CACTTTCTTGTTTCAATACATTTTGTTCTAAGTACATGTTGTGTTGTATTATTATTCCTGCATTAGTCAAGTTTCAACATGAACGTATAAACATAAAAAATGTCTTAAAAGATATATATATATATATATATATATATATATATATATATATATTATTCGTAAAGCTTGTAACTTCGACAGCCAAGAGAGAAGGAAAATTCGAAATTCCAACCTCCGATGCCTTACGGCTATATTCCGTCATGAAAAAGGCTATAGATATATATCCTAACAGAAAATTGGCGTAGAGATCTTGAGGCTGTTGGCTGAGAACATTAACCTCCTTCCGGTAACTCCCGCAGCCAAGCCGAATCCAAAACCTAATGACATGCATTCCTTCAGATCTTATCAGATCTTTGGCCGAGAGGATGTCTTAGAGAACTAAACCCTCCATAACCCATAAACCCAGATTGGCGTTCTGGAGAAGTCACTCCAGTTTAATCACCCACTTTATCTAACGAGAGCACTACACAGAAGACAGACTGGTACCATCAACAAAACAGTGCGGCAGAAATACCTCGCACATATACCCCCCAAAAATACATCCCACGTAATGCCAAGACCCTAGCTAGATGAAGAAACCATTACAATCAATGTCTTCTCATTAGGAGGAGAGTAATTCTGGATGGTGTATTTAAGAATTATTTCTGTCGCATACCGTGTATTATTTCATTTCATTTTTTTTTTTTATCTTAGATTTCCCGGGACAACTAAGTATAATAGAATCCTTGACAACCGGACTAAGGAGGTCTTCCGGATATGAAGAATTGGTTACAAAATCCGGATATGAGGAATTCCGGATATGAGGGATTCCGGATATGAGGGACACTAAAACGAACAAGCAGATCGCTAATGTTTCTTTATACAGTAGAATCCCTGTCAACCGGACAAAGAAGGCCTTCCCGATATGAGGAATTGGTTACAATGTCCTGATATGAGGGGTTATCATTAATTTAAAATAAAAGAACAAAGATCAGGTTTAACATTTATTTTCAATGTTTTATAGTAAACAAAATAAGCTAATGGCGAGTGAAATCTAACGGAATTGATTTTAAGGAAAAAGAAATAAATGATGTAATGTTATTGAAAAATTCATTAAATTAAATATGCCACGTATGCAAAACAAATAATGTAACGCGGATTTTTTAATCGCTGTTGTATGATGATTCTTTCTCTTCTAATGTCATTCTCAACTTTTTCTACATTTTGTTTTGCTTTTGTGTTTGAAATTTTTTAAACGAAAGACACTTTTTAACTCTGCATACATTATAGCAATCATCATAGCTGAATGCTGGCTTTCTTTCCATAAAACTGACAAATTTTTCAATATATTTTTCAATTTCACTGCAGGTTTCATCACAATCATGTTTTTCATTTCCTGGTTCATTGTGACAGTGTAAACGCTGGAGAATAGTTTCTTTGGAAGATTTTATGTCATACAATGTTGACTTTCTTTATGTTGAACTCAGCCATTAGTTGCAATGAACTTTCACCAGCGTCTAGTCTGTTTAAATTTTCCACTTTTTGCGATAACTCCAAAGTTGTTCTTTTCCTCTTATTCCCATCATCTTTTGCATCAATACAAGCCATTAGGGTGAAATAAGCATAAGCAATTATCCAAAGTAAATTTCCTGAAAAATAAGAAATTTCAAATCAGTTCCATATCAACCAAATAGTTCAAATATACACATCAAAATCATGTCCGGATATGCGAGATTCCGGATATGAGGGATTCCGGATATGAGGGATTCCGGATATGCGAGATTCCGGATATGGGGGATTCCGGTTATTAGAGATTCTACACTATTAGTTCACTCGTAAAAAATGGAAAAAAGTATTTTTGAAAATGATTTCTGTAGATTTTTCTATGTGCCGTGCCTGTTCATGATCTTTGTGATCATGGCTCTCCACTATTTCTTGTTTGTTATTTCCCACAAACCTAGATCCGCCATCCATTTACTGAAACTCGCTAGGTGTGTTATACATTATTTCCCTCTGTCTCTCGTGCCTTCAATCTGTTCTGAGAGTATAAACTTTTCCAAGCCATCTTTCCTTCTCATATGACCAAGAAAACTCAACTGACTTCTTGATGATAAGTATAAGTATCCTTCTTGATTCCATTTTCTCTAAAACTTCGTCGTTACTCACTTGTCCGGCCCATGGTATCGTCAGCATCCTTCTGTAGAACCGCATTTCTCTTGCTGCAAGTTTCATTTTTTATCTGTGAGGAGATTTTCCAGCATTCCACGCTATATAGAACTGATATTACATGTAAGTTCAGTACTCTTTTCTTTGTTTTTCTTGCTTCAATTCTCTGCTTCATCTGTGAGGAAATTGTCCATCATTTACTGCCATATAGAAGGATTGATATTACATAGCAGTTCAGTACTCTTTTCTTTGTTTCTCTTGCTTCAAGTCTCCTCTTCATCTGTGAGGAAATTGTCCAGCATTCACTGCCATATAGGAGGATTGATATTACATAGCAGTTCAGCACTCTTTTCTTTGTTTCTCTTGCTTCAAGTCTCCTCTTCATCTGCGAGGAAATTGTCCAGCATTCACTGCCATATAGGAGGATTGATATTACATAGCAGTTCAGCACTCTTTTCTTTGTTTCTCTTGCTTCAAGTATTCTCCTCATCTGTGAGGCAATTGCCCAGCATTCTCTGACATATAGGAGAACATATATAACGTAACAGTTCAGTACTCTTTTCTTCGTTTCTAAATAAGTTTTCCAGTTTCTTAATACCTTGCTTAGATTTTAGAATGCATCTTTCGCTATAACAATTTACATATGTATTTTAGTACATATTTAGACCTACAGTAGTCGTTTCTTCCCGCTTAATCTCTAGCAGGTTGCTCTCTGTGCCTGCTATCAACCCTGCTATCTGCATAACTTATGTGGTTAATATTATGGCCGGCGGTTAGATAGATAGATAGATAGATAGATAGATAGATAGATTCGCGAAAATTTTACTTGTAATTTCAAAGTCATTTTTCGGTTTATTTAGTTTTAATTGCTGTAAGGTTTTGCCAATAATGAGTAAGTTTTCTTATGAAAACGGCTGGCCAGCAATAGCAATTTGTCTGTCTGTCTGTCTGTCTGTCTGTGTGTATGTATGTATGTATGTATGTATAGAGAGAGAGGGGGGAGATAGATAGATAGATAGATAGATAGATAGATAGATAGATAGATAGATAATAACAGGCTGAGATTGATAGATAATTAGATAAATAGGTTGATAGATAGGAAACAGGCTTTAGATAGATAGATAGATAGAGAGAGAGAGAGAGAGAGATCTAGATAAATATTAACAGGCTAAGACTGATAGATAAATAATTAGATAGACTGATACATAAATAGGAAACAGATAGATATGAGCAGTCTAAAATTACATAGATAGATAGATAGATAGATAGATAGATAGATACGAAAACATATAGAAACAAAGAAAACATGGGGAAGTTAGGTTCCTCCGCTTTTTCGCGGGAAAACAGCATAGCGTAATGAAAAATGCCACAAACTTGACGAAAATCAAGTTTTATCGTCAAAATGCTTATGTTATTATTAAGATGAAAGACCAAAGTATTTTTTAATTATTTTTTGAAATTTTTTAATATTTTCTAACACGCTCGAAATTTTGGTTAAATTCTTTTGTTTACGTCATCGCGGTGGCGTTAAAATAACATTGTTTTTTTTTCACTTTTTTTCCGTTGAAAACACATTGATTTGGAAATTCTTGTAAAAATCAAGTAATTGTCCGATTTTAATGAGATTTTCAGGACTTATTCACAAATGAATGAAATTCTTTTTTAAATATTTTGTTTTAGAAAATTTTGGTAAAAAATTTTTTTTTTAAATATGTTACCCCCCACTTACTTATTTTCATGAAATTTCGTCCAAAACCTTTCTATTTACTGATTTTTTTTTTGTTTGTTTAAAGTACGAGTCATTGGAGATGGTAAATCACCTACTTTTTTTTTCAAATTTGAGCTAACTGATATTCTGCTCTGAATTGAAAAATAAGAAATCCAATAAAACTATGTCATTACTTAATTAGAAAAGCTTTTAATTGCTTTTGTAAATAAGTAATATTAGGGTCATTATTGCCTTAAGAAATAAATTTTTTCTGATGAATAATTAAATTTTACAAGAATTTTTTCATTTGTTTTAAATTTTAATTATAATAATTTATAATAGTTTAAAAATCGTGTAAAGCTCTGTATTAGGCTATTTCCTTGAGTTGATGTAGTATTAAGTGGAAACAAAATTTACGAGTTCAAAATTGCAAAGTTTAATAAACTTAGTTGTGCTTATTTATTTTTTAAATAATTTTTTTATGTTGTATTTTTTTTACTTAATACGTTCCTTATTTCCATGTACGGTAGACTGAAATTGCCATTATTATAAAAAAGAGTTTTGTCACTTTATTCTAATAAATAAACATAACAGTAAAACTGAAAAAAAAGCGTTCACTCAGATTTCTAATAATTTTCATTTCATTTATGGTCATCCGTAGTAGCTGTCATCACTCGTCAATCAACACATTTATCAAATATTGGATAAAAATAACAGTACCAATCGTTAATAATTGGTTGTATATTACTTTTTATGCTATAATTTAGTAATATTTCTTTTAAATCAGATTAATTTAACATTAGATTTTCTAATTTTATTAAAATGTGTCAGAAATTTTTTAAAACATTTTTAAAATCGATAAATTTCTGTTTGTTTACAAATTTCTTAAAATTAAGAAAATTTAAGAATTCCAAAATTAGATTTGACATTCCAATGTATATAGTTTCTATCTGAAATACACCAGAATTGTTTACTTAATGGAAATAATAAATTTAATGATTAAACTTTCAATTAAAGCTAAAATGAAATCTTCAAGCATGTTTTTTCATTTTTAAAAATTCATTTTAAACTTAGGTATCGAAAATTTATGCCGAAAAAGTGGAGGTACCTAGGGAAGATAGATAAATAGATAGTTGTCCAGAATCAGATCAATAGATAGGTAGATATTAAGCAGAATTAGATAGATAGATAGATAGATAGATAGATAGATAGATAGATAGATAGATAGATATAAGAATTGCCATACATCACCTCAGATTTATCGATGGTTTCTTTTGGAATACAGCGGAAGGTTTTCTTTGAATTTAATATGATCCGTGAGTCTAATTTATTTCCTCGATAATGAAATCGCAAACTATTTGAATATTTCAACATATCGCAATATTAGAATCTCCATCTTAATCATCCTAACCTCTTAGCCATATTGTATTGCAGATAAATATCGTCCATCCTCGACGTCGTATCATTAATGAAAACCCGTTTATGAAAATAACCTTATTACGGGCTTTTAAATAATATATGGATTGACAAAAGCATCAAAACTTCCTTGCTAACTTCGCTTACGTTTCGAAAACTGAATAATGTATGAAAAACATCGAGGAGCTAGAATGTTTGCTAACATATACGATTATAGGAAAATAGCGTTAAAATATGTATGGTAGGCCATAAGCAAGTAGACATCAGACAACTCATATGATAAAAGCATTATATATGAGTCGGGTGATTGTTTTAGGGGCTAGATTTATTTTCTTTGAATAGGCGACTTATTTATACAATAGGGACCCTCGTAAATTACATGGGTATAGTAATAAATATGTTAATACTGAACGAACGTTAAGTCACAAAACAAGATTATAAGAGCCTCACTACTAGCAAATGTCTTTATCTAAAATGGCCCCTTATCCTATCCATGTTTGTGATTGTAAATTCAAAAGGTCACTTGCAGGTCAGGGACCTAATTTGTCCTTAAGAGAAGGTTAGGTTACGAAATAAAATTAAGCCCCTGACTACTAAAATCTCTTTTTATGTAAAATGCCCCCCTGCTCTTATCTATGTTTGTGATTTTAATTTCAAAAGGTCACTTGCAGGTCAAGGACAATTTTTCCTCAACCGAACGTTAGATAACGAAACAAAATTCAGCACCTCACTACGAAAAATCTGTCTTTATCGAAAATGGCCTTTTCTCTTATCCATGTCTATAATTTTAATTTGAAAAGGTCACTTGCAGGTCAGGGAAAAATTTGTCTTCAACCAAACGTTAGGTTATGAAACAAGATTAATCCACTAACTACTAAAATCTCTATTATTCTAAAATTGCCCCTGCTCTTATTTGTGTTTGTGATTTTAATTTCAAAAGGTCACTTGCTGGTCAATGACAGATTTGTTCCTAACTGAACATTAGGATACGAAACATGATTAAAACCCCTCACTTCAAACCACTGCCTTAACCTAAGATGACTACACCCCTTTCACCACACGGAATTGGATTCTGTTTTTGTCCCTCTCTATATCTGTTTGTCTCTCGAACAAACATGACAAGGGTGTCAATATACGTTGGTGTCGCCTTTAACATTATTATTGTTTTATGTACTTTTCTGTTATCAAATGTTTTTCACGTTATTCTAAATACATTTATTTAATTATTATATTAATAATGTAGTAATTCCGTTGAGTTCAATTTATTAATTATTACCAATAAATAATCGATCCCTCATTTTAGAGCCAATCGCGTCTTTTATTAATACTAATTTATCCATAGAGTTCGAAATGACGTCATGTTTCGTTGAGACATTACGATTATTAGGTCTTCTGATTTTTGAGCTTTTAGTTTGGGGATTTGGTAATACTTTATGGAATCCGCCATACTTGCCTGTCACCCCGTACGGGAAGATGCACTCTTCCCCAAATTAACCTTTAACCAATGATCACTTCACTTTTCAAAACTCAACTTCCCATTGGTTAAAAGGACAGAAAAATGTAGCAAGTTGAGGCAATTCCTTTTTTCCCGCTAGCTGTCTGGAGCCTATTTGAAAACCCAAAAATCTATTAAAAAAAAAAAAAGAATCGCTCGACTTAATTCAAGTCAGTCAGACATTGAGTTTCGAGAGATGCCAGCAGAGTCCACGCGTGCCAACACACTGACTCAATAACACTACCAGCCTCTCATCAACTCAACACAGCTCGCACTACTATTGCCGCGTGAAGAAAGTTAACTAAAAAGGTGGCATTATCACTACGAAATAGTAATTGTACATTTAATCAACTTTAGCATATCAGTCAAAGGAACACAACTCTTCATAACTTGAATCAACACTTACAATTGTCACACACGTACACATTATTATTTGAACTCAGACAATTGACATTTTTCATTGCAGAAATCAAACAGTTTTAAATTCACAAACTTAAACCATCAACATTCATTCACCAAATCTCTGCATGGACACTCATTGCAATCTTATCTCACTTGCCACATTTAACAAGCAACCTATCATCACTTTGTGTATGTCAAATATACATAAATTTATGTTATTGTCGAAATCTATAACTACGTTGTTTTTCATTGATTTCTTCAAATTGCATTGTCTTCATATGTTCGTTTAATTAATTTGTTGTGGATAAATGCATAATGTACACGCCCCTTTTAAGGCCTTCACACAATTTCACCTTCTGACACATCTTACTTAGCATAAATTCCACAACAACCTTATAGATTCCCATACATGGCACTCTAATAGTTATTACTACCCTTAGTGAGGGTGGACCTGGGAACACTAACAATTAAGAGGTGGTCCTATGCTCGCTCTGACCGACTGACAGACTCCTGACGGACTTCTGACGGACCTCACTCCACACTTCAGACTGACACTCTGCTTCCTCTTGAGGCGCAGTATTTATTACGTATGGGATAGTCCATTATGTTATTATGGGTAAGGTCCCATAACACAAGTATACGGTTAAGAAATAACAAAATATTTCATTTTTGTTATCCTTTCTTTTTTCATGCTTCATTTTCATTTTTCCTTTTCTTTCTTGTTTTCTTTTTCTTTCTTTTTTCATTTCGTGTATTCCTTTTTCTTTATCTTTCTTTTTCTTTATTTATTTTCCTTTTTCTTTTCTTCAATTGCCGCTACTCTTTGCATTCTCATTCTTTTTATTCCTTCTTTTCTTTCGTCTCTTTCTTATTTCCGTCTTCCATTTTACTTCTGACGCCTTTCGTTATTTTCTTTTCCCATTTATCTCTTCGTCTCATCCTTCTCCTTCCTGCTTATTTAATTGCCTCATTTTCGTTTCCTTTTCTCCTTTTTCTTCCTTTTATTTTCTTTCTCTCTCACATCTTACCATTATTTTATTCCAACCTAAATGCTGCATTTAAAAATTCAACAATAATTTAACCCAGCGTCGAACTAGAACTCTCTCTAATCAAAGCCGGTTCTATTTTGTGTCTTCTGACATACTTCGAAAACCTTGCAAAATATCGAGTCAGACTTATTTCTTCTCAATAGACTTTTGTCTTATTTTTTATTTTATTTTATTTTTTTTTGTTACTCCTCTTTAGAAATCTCCGTTTTTACAGAATCAATAAATTCGCTAGCAGTCTCTTCTCCAGCTGCTTGCTCTTGGTTCTATGTATTGTTCAAAAAGAAAGCTGGACTTCGAGAAATTCTTGCAGGGTTCACTAAGATCATGCCATTTTGAAGAACTTTTTTTCCCCGATTGCTATAAAGAATCCCTTTTTCTATTTAAACATTACCCGCTACTCAAGAAACACTCGGCTTTGATTCTTCAACATCAAAAGAGAACATGACCCCTGACGAAGATTCGGGCGGGTGCCTGTCAATCCCCGCGGAACCATGCTTGCCAGCCCATTCCTTATCATCAAACTCATACAGCTTTTTCCAAATTTTTTTTTTTTTGCTGGCTCTTTCCTCTATTCTTCTCGAGCTCGCTGTGATAAACGTCCGAATTAGATGCTCGCCTTAATAAGGAATTTTCAAAAGACAGCTTCCCTTCAAGCTATTTAGAAGTATAAAAACTCTCATTTCGGCGTCGATATATAAGCAAACGATGCAAAAACACACGGACTGGAAGCTGCCTGATATGGAGAGATAACAAGCTAGTCCTATGCCGTTCCCATAATGATGAGTTCGATTTTAAAAGGGTATCCAAGAATTTGCCTGAATTTCCTCACAGAAGCATTTTCATTATTAATTTTTTTTTTCGGTAATTAAGTCAACGATAAAGAGTTCGTGGCCACTGACAATCCCTTTCTTCCTCATTTTCAATGCATTCCTATAGTAAAATCATTAGCAATGCATTTCCATTATACATATAATAGCCCTATTCTATCAGTAATGCTTGCCTTCATTCCTGACCACTGACAATCCCTTTCTTCCTCATTTTCAATGCATTCCTATAGTAAAATCATTAGCAATGCATTTCCATTATACATATAATAGCCCTATTCTATCAGTAATGCTTGCCTTCATTCCTGATCACTGACAATCCCTTTCTTCCTCATTTTCAATGCATTCCTATAGTAAAATCATTAACAATGCATTTCCATTATACATATAATAGCCCTATTCTATCAGTAATGCTTGCCTTCATTCCTGACCACTGACAATCCCTTTCTTCCTCATTTTCAATGCATTCCAATAGTAAAATCATTAGCAATGCATTTCCATTATACATATATTAGCCCTATTCTATCAGTAATGCTTGCCTTCATTCCTGATCACTGACAATCCTTTCTTCCTCATTTTCAATGCATTCCTATAGTAAAATCATTAGCAATGCATTTCCATTATACATATAATAGCCCTATTCTATCAGTAATGCTTGCCTTCATTCCTGACCACTGACAAACCCTTTTTTTCTTCCTCATTTCCAATGCATTCCTATAGTAAAATCATTCCCTGAGACAATGCATTTCCATTATACATATAATAGCCCTATTCTATCAGTAATGCTTGCCTTCATTCCTGACCACTGACAATCCCTTTCTTCCTCATTTTCAATGCATTCCAATAGTAAAATCATTAACAATGCATTTCCATTATACATATAATAGCCTATTCTATCAGTAATGCTTGCCTTCATTCCTGACCACTGACAATCCCTTTCTTCCTCATTTTCAATGCATTCCTATAGTAAAATCATTAGCAATGCATTTCCATTATACATATAATAGCCCTATTTTATCAGTAATGCTTGCCTTTATTCCTGACCACTGACAATCCCTTTCTTCC